GTTGCTGAAACAAAGCTTGCAATATGACCTACGAAACTGGGCTGGCAGGGGACTGTAGCCAAAATTGAGTTTGTCTTTAAGCTCTTCATCCATTCATCCAAATTAGGCCCTAACATGCATGGATTGCATCATTTACTATCCAAAGCCATCATTATTACCTAAAGCTCAATGAACTGAAAGATAAACACAAAAAGGATTAAAAGCACAAGTTTAACTCAAAAACATAACCAAATCATAAGCTAAAAGGGTACAAAATGATATACAATTATGAACCGATCATACTACCAAAGTTAAGTTCTGCCAAAAGAAGAGAGAATCCAAAAGTAATTCCTCAGGCAGAACAAACAGTATGTCAACCACAAGAGCTGATAAAGGCGGAATCTTCAGGCAGACCCTCCATCCATCCAAACTCATCTCCAATCAGTCAGCCTGAACTTTCACAACTACAAATTGGATCCAAGCCTATTTCAGAGGAATCACAGGAAGACTGGACTGAAGAATATGAGGAGGAACAGCTAGATTATGAACCATCTGCAGAGGACCAAATAGGGCTCCCCGAAACAGGAGAACAAGGAGACTGGACAGAAGAGATGGAGTACGAAGGAGGATTGGATGAAGAAGCCGAAGCTTTTGGTGCAGAATTGGAGAACTTAGGGCGATCTAGGCATTAACATGGTATTCATCTTATCGGAAAGATTCAGGGCAGCAGAAGGACAAGGAAGCACTCTGGAGGGAGACGTATTCTCGCAAGAAAGCTTTAAGTGCAGACTGGCAGAAATAGAAGAAGTGCCAGAACAGCAAGTACCTGCTGCCAGAACAGGTGGAACCATCATGAAACTAGTTGTAGAACAGCTCTGTTTCTCCAAACCAACCAGGGAAATGGCTAATCACCTCAGGCCTCTGTTCATAACTGCAAACTTTGGAGGTATTCCTATTTCCAAAGTAATGGTAGATGGAGGCGCAGCCATTAATCTTCTACCACACAGATTGCTGAGCAAAATGGATAGAACAGAGAAGGATCTAATTCCAACACGTCTGACCGTCACCAACTTTGCTGGGGGCATCACCAAGACTCATGGAATCTTGGACGTGGACGTTATAGTTGGAACCAAAAAGCTGAAAATTGCATTCTTTGTGGTAGACACTACTTCTACTACCTACAATGCATTGCTCGGAAGAGACTGGATTCATCAAAGTCTTTGTGTTCCCTCTACTCTGCACCAGTAACTAGTCCTTTGGAATGAAGAAGGTTACATGGAAATAGTAGAGGCCGATCCTCGGCCATTTCTGCCTTCTGCCATGTGTTTTGAAGCAAGGTATTATCATGATGATCTTGGTCCTTTCACCTTCTTTGGAGTCAACCAGAACGGCCGCCCTCACGGTGTCACGGCCCAAAGGCTCATTGAAAACGGTTTGGCCAGTTCTCTAGAAGATTGGAATAGGCCTGTAGTTCTGAACCTCCAGAACTCCGATGTTTAGTCTCAATCAACAGGAAAAGGATCGAGCTGCAACAATCCGATTCATTACAAAAAGATTGTTGATATACTGGGAAGAAAGAAAACTCATTGCGCAGAATCCAGCCATTAATACGGCAAAATTCACGCATGAGAGCATCGAAGAACAGGAAGAGAGTTTACAGGAGGAAATATTGGACTTCGCACCAGCAGCACTAGATGACTCCTTACCAGAAGTAGAAGATCCGTTACAGGAGATTAATCTGGGGACAGAGGAGGATCCAAGACCTACTTTCATTAGTGCTCTACTAGAAGAACCACTAAGAAGTGAAATCATTGCACTTTTACATGATTTCAGAGATTGTTTTGCTTGGCATTATCACGAAATGCCTGGATTGGACAGGAAATTAGTAGAACACAAGCTGCCTATCAAAGAAGGCTAC